AGGCTGCAGGGGGAGGGAAGGAATGGATCTAGTTCACTGACATGACATTGGATGTTTCATTTAATTCAGATTTGGGCACTCACAGAAAAAGGTTATGTATCTGATGTACAATTCTGGTCTTTTAAAAAATGAAATACTGTTTCAGAAACAATATTCCAACCCCAGTTGTTGGGCATATCCTGGATGCTTGACTGCAATAGTTCAGGGCAGCTAAGATGAATAGAGAATCCTGAACAAGTTAGGGCTGTTTTTGTTTTCCACAAGGTTTGCATGCAAATACCTACAGTCTCCTCCATCCTGGGCCAGCTTATATCATACTGTACCCAATTTGTATAGAGCTAAACATAACACCGCAGTGCAGAACAAGTCAGCAGCTTTTTTTTCTTTTTCTTTCTTTAGCAGCTCTAACTGATTTGTGTGACACTGTTGGCTCATTTAGTAATTTCCCATTCACTCTAAAAAAGAAAAAAAGTGTTATCTGATACCACACTCATCTGCCCTCCCTTTGAAAGAATGCTGTCCATTTATTGGTTGTAATGGGCTCTTTCAAAGCTAACTCTTCTATTCTCCATGCCTTGTTTTCCCCCCACCCAGACACAGCAATTTTGTGGAGACAGGCAGAGAAGTCCTTAGCAAAAAGTGGAATAATTAGAGGAGGTCTTATTGTTGCTAGCTCCATTATAACTGATTTGCAATTCTAATTGAGCAGCCAGTGCAAGTTGCAAGCAGAATTCAGGAGCCGAATTGTACCCTTCTGCTTGCAGCCAGCACTGGCTGCCCAATTAAAATTGCAGATCCGTTAGGTTGAACTGGAAACTCAAAATCAAATGTATTGGAAGGAACTTCCCATGTGATGGGTGACAAGGAAATACTGGTGGGAAAAGGGGGAATTGTACTCAAAGGGGAATTTGTTCTAATGAAATGTTTTTATGTGTTGGACATATTTTTGAACAATATGACAACCTGTATTTGACTGATTAGTAAATTTACCACCAGATGGCAGGCTAATGTCTGAAAAGCACAAGACACTTGTTTATGAATTAAGCATTCATTCCCTCACAGACTCCCAGTCTGGTTTATGTCAACTACCGAAAAGCATTTCTGATCCTTGATTCAGTAGTTCTTTCTATTAAATTTTTCTGCTGCAAGTGTTTTGAGTATAAACTAAAAGGATGGGGAAACCAAAGTCGCATGTGGCCCTGCAGGTGGTGTTGGACTCCATCTCCCATCAGCCCCAGCCAGCATGGCCTATGATCAGGTGTTACCGGAGTGCTGGGCCACCAACATTTGGATGTCCACAGGTTACCTGATCAAAAAGAAGAGTTTGAATTTGAGCAGCTTGTAGAGACTTCTTCTGGGTGTATTACTTTGACATCCCTTCTTTGCAAAACATTTTTGACAGGATAGTCCTGGTAAAATCATTGTGTCTGATAGAAGCAAGATATGTCAGCTACAAAATAATTATATCTCACGCTCTCCCTACCTTAATATTTTCCTTATATGCTCATAATCATAGTCGGTTTGTTTATATACCACGTTTTCCACAGACTTGTACTCAAGTTTGGGGAGAAATGTTTCACTTTTTGGTGCTTTCGTCTGCAGTGCTTGGTTTGAATCCTCAAAGCATGCTGAACCACTTCCAAGGTCCTCACTTCAAGTTCAGGACACTTTAGAGAGTGCCTTATTTGGTGCAGATGAGTCCCAAACCTGTTGAAGTGGCCCATTTCAGCTCAGGATTCATCCAAATCCAATGCACACCTCTGTGTTCTACTACACAAGAGTTGAAAGTCTCTCTCTCTCTTAACTGGAATACCTAGGAATGTGACTTTTTCTTAAGAACATAAATTGCCTTGTTGAATTAGAACAACACATGTTGTCTGAGCTCATTGGAGTTGCCATTCAGAACATATGGAGGGAAAGGTGGATGAACTATTTTTATTTAACCTAATTTGTATACCACTAAAATATAAAGACCTCTAGGCACTTTTAAGACTAATGTCGATGTATTCTGCCATCCTGTTTCCAATAACATGTAGCCAAATGCTGAGCCTGGACATTCATAAGCAGGATACCAAAATGGTCTCTCCACCCCATCCCACCACCCCCTCAAAAAAATTCTCCCAGCATCTGGCATTCAGAGGAATCTCTCATTTTTATTTTTATTTTATGCCCCTACCTTTTTACCATAGCAGCTTACCAGTCAAGGCATCTTACATGAAAACAGGTGTGTATTAGCCCTTGTTCTCTCTTCCACAATATGTGGACATTAGGGCAGGAGGTACTATACTAAAGAACAGCAATTCAATACCTATCTGCAGCATATTGTGTCAAGAGAGAAAAATAAAGCATTATTGTAGAGTTCATAAGATAATGTGCAGTAGAGCTCAAGCCATGAGCTCCCATAACTAATTTCTCTCCCTAGACCCATGAACTTTCCTTAGTTATATTTGTGCAAGACTGCCTCTGTGTGAATGTTCAAGTGTGGTTTATGAAAGACGCTGCTCAGTTCCAGATATAACCGGGATCTGATTGCAGTTCTGTGCTTTTACTCATTCTGCCAAGCAGAATTCTTCTTTTCCAGTACAGTGGAATTCTTCCATTACAGATTTTCATTAAATCTCAACAAATTCCGGTTTAGAGAACATCAGCCCAGTCCTATGCATGTTTGATTGGAAGTAAGTTCTTCTGAGGTCAGTAGGATTTACTCCCAGGTAGAGGTGCACAACCTAAATATTCTAGGAGTGGGCTTCATTGTACAGGAGTTTCACATCAATTGGCTTTGTCTCTTGTTCATACACAGATGCTGTTTTGAACTTGAAGCCCCTTATGCCAGGAGTAAAAATAAATAAATAGAAATTTGCAGTACGAAGACTACAGTCGTATCTTGGAAGTCAAAGGGAATCCATTCTGGCAGTCCGTTCGACTTCCAAAATGTTCAGAAACCAAAGTGCAGCTTCTGACTGGCTGCAGGAAGCCCCTGCAGCCAATCGGATGCTGTGGAAGCCCCATTGGATGTTTGGGTTCCATTGAACGTTTGCAAACCAGAACACTCACTTCTGGTTTGCGGCATTCGGGAGCCAAAATGTCAGAGTGCCAAGGTGTTCAGGATCCAAGGTATGACTGTATATAGTTGGGTGGATGGATAGAGAGGGGAGGAAAGCAGTATATGCTTATAATTCCTCCTTCCTAGGTGAACAGGGTTCATATGAATGTGAACTGCTCTTCATATGCTACCATTAATATATGAACACCTTTTATTATTCACAAAAATCCTATTTGGACATTCTGTAGGAACATAGACCACAGGTTCCTCCAGCTTGATACTGTAAATCCTGAGTTGTGCTCCAGGGTTTTAGAAAAGAGAAATTCCGAAGTTGGAGAAACTGGGACCTTTGTATACAAAACAGTGCTCTACCACTGTGCTACATGGTAAAGGAGGAAATGTAGCCACACACACACAAATGTCAAAAGGAAGACAGCCTTCACACAGACAAGCCTCAAAGCTACCTAATACCAATATTACTGAGTTCCAGATCATGTGGAAGCCTAGATATGTGAGTGCTCTCTAAATGTTTGCATTGTATGCATGGACGCTGGAGGTAGAAATACAGTGGTGCCCCGCAAGACGAATGCCTCGCAAGACGGAAAAACCGCTAGACGAAAGGGTTTTCCGTTTTTTAGTTGCTTCGCAGGACGAATTCCCCTATGGGCTTGCTTCGCAAGACGAAAATGTCTTACGAGTCTAGAGATTTTTTTTGCTTTCCCCTTTATCTAATCTGCTAAGCCTTTAATAGCCTTTAATAGCCTTTAAGCAGCTAATCCCCTAAGCCTTTAAGCCTTTAATAGCCGCTAAACTGCTAATAGCGCTAATAGCGCTAATCCGTCAATGGGCTTGCTTCGCAAGACGAAAAAACCGCTAGACGAAGACTCTCGCGGAACGGATTAATTTCGTCTTGCGAGGCACCACTGTACTTGGCCTGGCCCCACTTCCCACTCACACGCTCTCCTTAACCCTGTGTGCAATGCTCAAATATGGCTGAAGCTTGCAGAGAATCCTAGAGTGCTCGCTCCACAATACTGTCAATGTGTGTCAAGAAGTAAACCGGCTATTTTTAATCCATGCCAACTAAGTGTGATATTAGGCTGGCTGGTTTGAAAATAATTAATTCAGAGAAAATTGTGCAATCTTCCCAATATTTAAACATATGAATGTCACACACATGCACATTTAGCCATGCCTCTGGTCATTCAATGAACATCCTCACAACAACCCTGAAGGGGAAGTTAGGCTGAGAGACAGTGATTGGCCCAAGGTCACACACTGTGTTTTATGACCAAGTGGTATTTTCTCATTCTCCTAGGTCCTCGCTCCATTAATTCCACTGCAATTCTGGTTTATTTTAACATGATAAATAGTGTTATGAGTTTGCCACACACCCCTAATTCCTGGATTCATCAAATGTTAAAATTTAATCAAAGCTAATTAAGCCAGGCTAACTTCCTGGGTTGAGGTGATTGCCTGGGCGATGGACCATTAAAAGAACAAATGATCAAGGGGGCTTTCTGAGAGAGCAACAAAAGCATGGAGCCCCCTCAATCAACAGATAAAGACAAGGTTTAGAGTAAAGAGAAGAAGGGAAGGAGTTATGTGTGCTAGAAGCTAGATGCAAAAATGCAGCAGGCTGAAAAGGCAGAGAGAGAAAAGGCTGATTTCTGCTTGAATCCAAAGCTGTGGCTATGGAAGAAACAGGACCCTTTTGGGCTGCTGGTGCTGCAAATCCCTCCATCACAGGTTCAGGTTGCATATATGTGTAAATAAACCATATATCATAAAGACATCAACGTCTCCACTGTGCTGGGCAAATGCCTGGAACCCCTGGAATCTTGCCCCGCTTGGAAACTGGGGTGGTGTACAACAATATTTAAATTAAGTAGATGAGGAAAACTCCCCAACGAAGGTAGCGCTTGAACCCTGTAGAATAGGAAATGATGCAAGGATTGTATGAATTCCATATATTCCTAGAGTATCTTTATTTGTTCTATAATTTAACAATAATACACCTATAAAATAATTACATTATAGTTATAACATTTCTTCCATTTTGTTTTCATTTATAAAACAAAAATTTAAATAGTATGAACCATTACAAGGTCAACTCAACTCTTTCATTTAAGCATAAACTAACCAAAGGGCGCATGACCCCTCCTGCAGCATAGATCTCTTTTTTATCACAAATTGGTAAGGAGCCCATCCCCCTACAGGATGCTTTCTTTTCACATTTTTCCTCATGTGGTTACTGAATGGTTACTGGTTTCCAGCCCGAGGAACCCGATATTAGGTTTCCTTTCTTCAGGAGGCAGCCATCCTAACCCATAAAAGTGTGTGCATTATGTTACAGGCACTCTAATCTTCCTCTCCCTTCCACTTTGTCCAAAATGTGCTTTGGTAAACCTTAGAGTAAGTAGTGGAATAATGTTCGACAACGGCAATCTCGAAAGCAAGCCTCAGCCTTCTCTGCTGTGCATTCCCAACTGCAGATCTGCCATTGTGTAACACCAAGGGAGGGGAAAAAAATTATATAGGGCCAGCATACCTGCCCAATCCCTCCTACCCGTGCCAATCCCCATAAACCGATTGGTGAGCACTAACAGAGATCAGTCCCCCAAAGCCTCTTAAAACAGCCGGTCTCACATAATAGAGAACTGTGCCACTGAACCCTTGAGTTGGCACCAAACCCACAGCTCGAAGCAAACAATTTTGTTAACCCCTTTAGTGGTCATATCCGAGGGAGCGTAGGAAAATAGTCCTCAAAACATTGGACTCCTTCAGCTGCAACTGCCGTGAATGCAAAGTTCCAAGATACGCAATAGGTCACGGCTTTCGGTGTTGCCCAACCAGTTTAGGAATCTCAACGGCCACATTTGGAACATACTAAAACCTAGCATGAGACATTGAATGAAATCAGGATGACTGGGTCACTTCACACATTACATTTTCCCTACAGAGATACAATTCTGTTCATTGGAAATAACGATTGGTTTAAATTACTCTTTGTGTTCATCTCAGTAACAAAGAAATGCAACATTTTGCTTTTCTGCTACTGTGTTTCAATAGGTTAAACACAATGTTGTTTTCTTCCCCGAAAGTAGTGATTCAACACAGGTTAAGGTAAGGGAATTGATGGAAGGAAAAAATTAAATTAATGCAAAATCTACTGAGAAAATAAACACTAGCAAAACTCTGTAATTCTCAGGGAGTAATCTGGCCCAACAATTAAGGTGTTTTGTTTTAGCCCTTCAAATACTTTGTCATCTCCCAAAATATATGCGGTTATGTCTATATTAACAAGTTTAACAACAATTTGCTATAGCTGCATTACAAGTGAAACATTGCTGTGGAAACGTGAGGCAATCTAGCTGAAAATATGCATAAATCCATTTTCGGTCTCTTTCTCTGTCGGAAAGTGGCAGGTTGATTATCTCCATGGAAGATAAGGCCCATGTACCTTATCAGTCAGACCAGACAGAACATAGTTGTCCATAACTGTTCTTTACTATATGTATCCATGTCAGCATTACAGCCCCCAAAAAACAGCATTAGGCAGTCAAAAACCAAGTGAAAAGTCCCCAAAATGAGAGGGAGAAGCTATGAAGAATTCACTGGACCTCTCTCTTCATCCAAAAGGATGGATGGAGTGAAGGCCAAAAGGTTTCCCACACAGTGGAAGTGTTAATTTTGGATTTAAACCCCTGGCCACCCAAACGCTCATTTCCACATTTGATGCTGGGCTTCACCTTGAGTGACACAGACCCAGTGGCAAAACATCTGCTTTGGTAAATAGATTATGAACCCTCTGAATAGACCAGCCAAAGCAGCCTTTACTTCCAGGTGGCCAATGGCGCTGCTCCAGAAATGACTCGACCAGGAGGAGGAAAAACAACCATCTCGTTTGTCTGTGAAGGAAGAGAGGCCATGGCGACTCTGGCAAGGGCAGCTGCAAGCCCTCACTTTCGCTGCTTGCCTGCGCTGCTCAGGTTCACAGACATGCACCGACATTGCTTGACTTTCTGGATTTTCTTAAGTCGGAAAGGTGGGTCTAGTTCAGGGCATTCTAGCTCCACTGTGAAGGAGGTCACCTTCTGGGGCTTGCAGAAAGCGCAGGACTGAAATGACTCCTCCTCTTTTTTCACGTGGCGAGGGATATAGAAGGAGTTGCACTGCCCGTAGCAGAAGCGGTTGATGATGGTGCGGCTGAGGCAGCCCTCCTCGCTGACTGTCTGCCTCAGGGCCTGCGTTTTGCACCAGTCACTTTTCAGGTACTTCCTCTCTGTGACAACCAGGGCCTCCTGGCTGGAGGCCAGCACCTCTTTGTGCAGATGCTGCCGCCTCTCTGAGTTGTTGCTTCTGCTATCTTTGTATGGGGAGGGGATGGCTCCTGCAGGGCGATTCTTCCTGGTTTCCGACACTTGAACCAGAGTAGACACAAGAAACAAGGAGAAAGCTAGTTTCCAAATCATCCTGCAATAAAACAAGACAATCAGGATAGAAGATGCAAGTCCAAAAAATAAATAGACAGTGTCTTTTAAAATGCATAGGCATAAGATTGTCATCCATAAAGTAAAAAAAGGAAAAGGAAAGGCATGCCAAGATTTGCTTATAAACCACCAGAGCACTTATTCTAAGTGGCCCTAATAGATAGAAGAACAAACACGTACAGCCACAGAAGAAACACAATGTTCCCCACTGTTTGCATACCTTCCAATTTTTCCACCCCCAAAATCAGGATGTCAGGAGGGGCACACATTCTGGTCTGGCAATTGGCAGCAGGATCATGCCACAGCACCTTCTGGTCCAGCGCTATGGTGGACCAGACTCTGGTAGTCTGACTTGTGCCAGACCACCAGGCCCAAAAATGGGACATTCTTTCATCCAAAGAGAAGCCGGGATTGGCTTCTGTGATCTGAGATGTCCCACTTAAAACAGGACACTTGGCGAGTATGCGTTTCTCCCCTCTCAGTATGATCTAGGCTAGTTGCACATGAGGATATTCAGGAGGAGGGGAAAGTACAAGGAAGCACCTGCCCAGATCAAGAAGGGATAGAGCTGCCAGGTCCCATAAGCTTGCAGTCCTGGTGCTTCATTTTTAAAGCAGCACCTCCCTTCTAAGCTCCAGCCTTCTTGAAGCAGGGAAACAGACAGGTCTGGTCCTCTGCCCTGCTGCACAGTGAGATGCATGCCTTTGTATCTGGGTGTTGGAAGCACAATTCCAGTAGCTGCGCAGGCTCACACAGATCAGCCCTAGAGAGGTTATTTAAACAATAACCCTTGGATGCTCTGAGGACAGCTCTTATCCATGGGGAAAATCTGTGAAGTTTTATACAACATTGGGAGTTATAAAACCCCTCAAAGTAATTCACATGAAACATATAACCAGCAACAAGGTTACCTTTTAAATCAGGTGTAGGAGAACCTCTGGCCCTCCAGCTGTTGCTGAACTACAGCTCCCAGTATGCCTGATCATTGGCTATGTTTGGTGGGACTGATGGGAGTTGTAGTTTGATGATGATATCTGGAGGGTCACAGGTTTCCCATGCCGGTTTAAATGTTGCAAGGTATAATAAAAGACTATAGAAGTAAAGTTGTGCTGTAAGACATTTAAAAGTATGGCTCTGCCTCTACTTCTGTCACCTGGGACAGAGGAAGAAGAGCAATTAGTAGCAGCAGCAGGGGGAAGGAGGAGGAGAGGGAGGTGTCTGGATATTTCCTGCATTTCCATAAAGCCACCTAGAGTAAAACTGATTAGTTATAGGCAACACACCAACTACCTAGCCCAATAATGGCATGAAGAAAAGCAGGGCCACAATTCATCAGTCCTCTGCATAGCAACATACTCAGCTCTGAACAGTAAATCTCAAGCTCCGAGAAGGTACGTGGCAGAAAGGTGCTTACATAGCAATTGTGTCTGGGTGACTGAAACCAGTCGGCCAAGTTCAACTGTTTCAGGGAAGGACAACCCAAAACCATTCACTAGCCAATCTGGCCATGGGAACATTTATTTCCAAATTGCCTCTGAGAGAATTTGCTCTAAATTTGCCTTGCGTTTTGTACTGTGATTCTAGAAAAATAGAATCAAGCCCTTTTCTTCTTCCTTGGCAGTGTTATGGCTAGTTCACCACTGAGGGGGTGCTATCTTGAGAGGATGCAGGATGGCTGTTGGGCTAGGTTTATGGGAAGGGATTGTTTGTGAGAAATGGCATCTTCCTTGAAGATGTGCAGTTAATGTGATTTGCATGATCATGATGGTGCAATTGAACAAGTATGGTCCAGCCTTTAAAGATGTGGGAAGATGTGCGTATTTTATGCTGATTCTGTGCATGAATGTACAGGTTGGTGAATAAGGGAGTTGAAATTGGCATGAAAAATGGGGGGGGGGCACTTACCTAAGCAGAGAATTGATATCAAAGTCTTGAGCCATTCAGTCTGACCTTCCACAGGTAGAGAATGTGGTCTTACTGCCTGAAAAAGAAAGCAGCAATTATTTTATGCTAGTGAAACGGGTGACTAAAGGTTTGTTTATATTTGTGTATGACATATTCAACTGAGCTACACTGAGTACCCCTTCCTCCTAAAGATATTTCTTGCTAAATATCACAGATTTCAGAATCACATGGAAATCTATGATGCTCACTTACAAATTAGTGTGTTTGGGATCATGGCCAGAATGGGAAACTATTACGTTAACCAAAAGACTCCAGCCAGTCTTCAGGGAAGTTACAGCTCTCTCTACTTGACCGAATACTAGGTTAGCATGGCCAAAACCATGGGATGTTAACTGGATGTTCAGGCCAAATTCCTTTTCAATCAGCTAATTACAGCTTTCTCTGGAGATGCAACTGAATCTCGTATTATTCCTTTCCTTCCTTTGTTGCAAGCCCCAGAAACATACAAACAATGAGTCAGAGCTCATTTGATTATTCCAAAATCACGCTATTGGAAAATGAACGTGCCCCATTACTTTGAATTCTAGGCTTTCTGTGCATGCTGTTTGGGATATATAACAGCTAGAAAGTACCGTAAAATAGTTACTGGCTGGCTAGCATTTGCACTACGTTGTTTCCGGGTTGGTCATGTGAATCCAAAGCCATCTGTGAACATTCTGGCTGTCAAACAATTCAAAAATAAGGCTTTCCTTTCTGCCCCTCAGAAAAAAGGGCTTCCACAAGAATTCTGGAAAACCTGAAAGAGGAAGGGCCTAGCAAACATCATGCAACCTTTTCATGAATTATTTGGGAAAGGGAGACATTTCTCTACATAGTCACCCTACTACAGCTACGTCTTCTATTGTGTCCCATTCTTTATTTGCAGACTGACATAGAAACGTGTCTCTGCTCCCTCCCACAGTTCTACCCTTAGTAATAATATTTAGTTCCTGAACCTTCTTAAAATTGTTGTTTCACTGCACTGTTCCTGCAAGAGATCCCATTGGCTTTCCCCAGGATTGGTGTAGGCAGAAGTCTGCTCAGACCACAGCATCCTGTAAAGACAGCCCAATACATTTGGCCTCTGAAGCAGAAAATCTGAGTGGTTCTACAATGGGGTAAGAATTGTCAGTTTCCTATCCCTTGCTTAAAGGCTCCCCCAAAAATCTGCCACCTGAAGTAATCAACCTCACTCAGCTTAACGGTAGAGCTTGCAATTTCTGGTAGTGCTACAGAAATGGCTATGAGCAGCAGCAATTCCATATTGGTTATTAAAAAAATGGATTTGGCGACCAAACTTGTGCTTTTTATTTCATTCAATAGCCCTTACATTCTAGGTGGAAGCTATTTCTATAAGCTGCTACAATTTAAAGCCTTAATTATGAAACCACAGTCAGGTGAGCTCCATTCCTCTAGAAGCAGAGAAGTGGAAATGGAGAAAGCAAGCTTTTACAATCTTCAAAACAAAGGCACAAAATGTTTATAGTGGGAATGAGATTGCTGCTTTTCTCCCTTAGGATAGGAGGGCTTTGACCCTTTTATTATGTTCTTTGTCTAAATAGCCCTTAATGATATGCTCCTACCACAGCAAGGGATGTCAATTTTTAAAAACTGTTTAGCTCACGTAAGACCTTACTAATCTGCACAGTTGGTAACCAGCACTGAAAGGGGATTTCCTTCTGGCACCGAAGTATGGAGAGAGGAGTGCTGAACTGGAGGTTTATTTAAACTTCAAATTAACTCCTTTCTTCTGACAAGACGTGGAGCTGCAAGTAATGATCATTATCAGACACACCTTTCACAGGCAAGACTGTGGACATTTGTCTCACTGGTTTTAAAAGCATAGTTTGAGGCTCCTTCATCTCTGACAACAGGTATATTTATCTATTTATTACATTTTCATCTGGCTCTTCCGCCAATAAGTTCTGTGGGCCCCCACTTCCAATACACAATTTTATCCTTGCAACAATTCTGTGAGGTAGGCTAGATGGGGAGATATGGGTTGGCCCAGGCTCACCCCACTGGTTTCATGGCTGAGTGGCCATTGGACTCTCCTCAGTCCGAATCTGACTGTCTTAATCACTACACCACCACAATGGCTCTTTCTGTTTCAGAGAGTTTGCAAGACAGTTTACAGCTTCTACTGTGTATGGCCTCATCACATCCCTGAAAGAGAGGTCACAAGCTGTCAGACCCAGATGCAGAAGAGTTTGTGGAGGAAAACACTGAACGAAACATAAGCTGCTACCTTATCCTGAGTCAGACAATTAGTCCATCCAGTCCAGCACTGGCTACTCTGCCTGGCAGCATCTTTAACCAAAGCATTTCCCATCACCTGTTTCTTTTACACACACACACACACACACACACACATCCAATAAGGTATGCTAAGGATTAAACTTCATCTGTGCTCTACTCCTGACCTATCAAATAAGGAGCAGGGTTCTAGCTAAGTATACGCAAGGCACTGGAAGAGGCAATATTGAGGCAAGTCTGTGATAGGGAACAGAGGCTGGCAAAGTAACTTTTTCAGACCAGATAGCAGGCCTGATTAGCAATTGTAGAGAACTGGATTTTGTCTCATGAGTTATCCTGGCCTGTTAAGATTCACGAGGTTCTTGCACGTGCCTCCTTCAGCCTGAGCTCAGGGACAGCACCCAGCTTGAACTCCTGTCTAACAAACTCAGTGTAATGTGCTTGGTGCATGAATGAATACATAGCCCATAATACAGAAGGAGGCCAGTTCTTGAGGTCTAACTGTTAAGTTGTGGGCGAACATATCAGACGACACAGCGATTCTTCAACAGCTCTTGTTTATTCAGAGGCCAGAATAGAACTGAACTGAAGAGCTCAGTCAGCCTGCTTATATAGAGCTCCAGAACAACGTAATTGTAGCAACTTTCTAAAACTATCCAATCACTGAACGTCACTTTCGATCCTTCATTTGCATAACTATCTACAGTATCCCCCTGCTGGCCCAGGGTGAGAACTTCAGTACATAACACTAACCACTAGAGAAGGCTGTGTTCCTTCATCACAGGGAGAATAGCCCAGGCCTGGCACATAGAGGTTTATATAATATCTGCAGAGCAGGGTAAAGCCTGGCAGGCAGCAGTTGCAGTTCGGATGACTTCAGCATTAGTTACTAGATAAGCCATGACTGGCAACCTCTCCTTGCTACACAGCTATTAAGTGTGCAGAATTACACTTCAACGCAGCCTTGGGCTTTTCATCAGCACTGGGCTTTGGCAGGCATAGACTACAGACCAGCTCTTCCAGTCTTGCTTGCTCTGAAGTGAAGGGCCTTGAAACAGTCACTTCACACACAATGTTCAGCCAACACAATAACATTTTAAATATCATGATTTGAAGATTAAACAGGGGCCCTCTGTTTTACGAAAGAGCTCTCTGGCTGCATGGAACACCATAGTCTTGTTATGTCCTTTCCTTTAAAAAATAGAATAGAATCATCCACTGGTTGCAATGGGACTGGGATCCTCCCAGGAATTAAAAGGCTGCTGAAGAATGTTGCCTTGTCGTTTACAATGTCTGTCTCTCAAGTATTGGGTAATATGCAAAAGACTGCCAGACCTCTGTTCTGTTGAGTATCTTTTGACCTAGCAGAACTCTGGAGCAAATTCACCCGCTCTTTTATCTTCCACACATCATGGGAACGCCAACTGTAACTTCCCACCCTAATAAATAAAGGGGTGCTTTGGGAAGCCAGGGTCTGTGGCTGTGGCAACAGCAAAAGGGGTTTCTTCCCAACACTAAAGAAGTACTTTTCTTGCACCCCAATACCCCGTAAATTGTGGCCCTCCAGATGTTGTTAGGCTCCAACTCCCATCAGTTCGAGCCAGCATGGACAATTGTCAGATATGATGGCAGTTGTAGTTCAACAATATCTGGAGGGTTGCAGGTTCCCCATCCCTGGAATGCACCCTCCCTCCACACACACCATGTAAGGGGCATAAACTTACCAAGGGTGAAAAAAAGTGTCTGGATTATTTGTTTTTTTGTTTGTTTGTGGACCGGGGGCGGCAGTCTTGCTGCTATTAATCACAGACAACGGAATGTTTTTCTAAACTTCACAAGGCTAGATGAATGCCTCACATTCAGAAAAGCATTAAAAGAAAACTCTGAGGCAAAAGTGGTTTCAAAATGGTGGGAGCTATGAGGTAAAAAGCACTTATTTCAGTAGGTGCCTGTGACACCTCAGTTTAACTACTGAGCTGGCTCAAGATATTTTTTTCTGACTAAGGTAGAACAACAGATGGCATGCCTGCCTTCACACAAGTCATGGTATACAGTACCTAAGGCTGGACAGGTTATTTTGGCACCTATGGCAAATAATACCATAAACCTTCCTTTTTACCTGGGCTTTTGGCTCTTAATTTGAAAGGTTTACTTTGCTCTGGAGCGTAGGACTCGAACCAATGGCTTCAAGTTACAAGTACAGAGATTCTGACTAAATATTAGGAAAAACTTTCTGACAGTAAGAGTTGTTGGACAGTGGAATGGTCTCTCCTTGGAGGCTTTTAAGCAGAGGTTGGGTGGCCATATGTCGTGGATGCTTCAGCTGAGATTCCACAATTGCAGGGGTTGGACTAGATGACCCTTGAGGTCCCTTCCAACTCTGCAATTCTATGATTCTATTTGCGGCTTCTTTTGGTGGGGCAAGATCTACTAGACCAGTACAGGTATTTTGTTTTGTTTTAGTTGATTGTATTATTATTATTATTATTATTAATAATAATAATAATACAATAGTTGATTGTATTCATTGTAAATGGTTTTAGCATTTCTATTGTGTTTGTAAGTCTCTGTGAGTATTACGTTTATAAAGAAATATTTATGGCACTCTTGCTGTAAAGTATGAGCTTCCTGCATAAAGATACCACAACATCACCCAGAGATGGAGAAGCATCATGAGAGTCTGCACACACAGTGAGTTTTTGGTACCTCCAAGTGAATTTTGTACCTCCAAGCTGGATAAAATGCATCCAGCTACTCATTATGCCATCAGAGCCTGGTCCAGAGATAGCATTACTGTTGAGCTTTTGCTCTACATTGACTTCCTGCCCGCAAAGATATGAATTTAAATATTTTATTAGTGATTGAGAGGCCTGTGCTGACCATATCTTGGAATCCTCTTATATTCCCCAGCTATTAAACTTAAGCACTCTGCTTTGTTTCTGTGTGCACGCACGCACTACAGTTTTCAAAATAAGATAAAATTGGGAGGGGAGGGGAGGCAAGGAGGAGGTAGCAGGTGAAAACCTTTTGGTAGTTGTACCACAGCTTCTGTGTGATATCTCTGATCTTAGCTACAGCAGGGCCAGCAGATGTTGTCATTTAAATGGAAGACTTTGGGAGATGAATACCCTGGCTGACTTTGATTTAGGGGAGGGATGTCAAATAGTTGTGTGCCACATTCTTCCTGTATTATTATGCTTCTTAGTACCAGGTCTCCATTTGCCATGGATACAGCCATGGCATAGGGCCTTCATTAGTTTCCGTGGAAACCATGCCTTCTAGAGGGGAAAGATATGTAAACCAAGGACAAAAACACAAATAAACAAGATAAAGAGTATGTAGTGATACAGGGTGCTATAAAAAATTTTATTGGCACTTATTTGGAAAGACTGGCCAAGCGAACAGCAATAAAATTTTATACCATAATGAGCACTTTTCTCCAGTTTTGCAGCAGAGGAAAAAGAAAAACGAAAAACAACAATCTAAGGAAGGAAAATCAGACTATTACTGGCCACGCTTGTTTATCACATTAGATTCTATGGCTTTAGAAAATACCGTCACAAATATTGTTCTGTATAGTCAGAAAGATGTGACCCTAAGCAAACCTACTCTTCTACTCTCAAACATTTCTAAGCAAATGTCTGCTGTACCACGCAAAGTTTGCTTGCCAACATGTACAGCCCACTCCTATACCCAGTCAGAAGGAAGAAAAACTCAGGTTTATCCACACTAAGAGCAATTATTTTTTTTAAAAAAATTAAAGTTCTGTGGAAAGAAGACTCTTGGGGAAGGAGAAATTTTAGGTGAACCCCATAGTGTCAGGGTGGGAAGTAACAGATTCCCCCTGAAAGTGCCTGGAATTAGCTTGTATCATGTACATGAGCTATGGTCAGCAGGCTATCCTAGCCCCTGCAGTTAATATGTGATTTGGACAGCTAATGGGAAAAGAAGACATCAGTTTGGCAGAGGGAGGGAGACAGAGTGTAATGAGAGGAGGAAGATGAAGATGAAGATGAAGAGAACAGGTACTCATTGTATATGCAGGAGTCTACAAGGTGACTCACATGGAATGGATGTGCATATGCAGCGCACATCCATTTTTAGAGGGGGAACCCCGAAGTTGTTAACCTTTTTTTAGGGAACTGACACCATGCTTATCTCTGCTCAGGAAAAGAAAACAGGAGGAAACATATGAAATTTCATATGTATCACCATAGTAGATTGTGACCAGGCAGCCAGCGTGTCTACTCAGTCTGCTATCTAGGTATTAACTGCTGATGGGTGACTTCAAGGTCCTTGTTCTCCTCTTGTTGGCTCTTTATCTTTAAACAGGCCTTGGGCAGGACAGCCCTTCAAACAGAGGACTCCTTCAAAGAGAGGTCTGGCCTCTGCAAAGTAGGGCACAATGCCCACCCACCCTTGACCAGCCATGTGTATATTAATGCAAGTAATTTACCCAGCTCATACACCACTTCCATGGTTTCAAGTTCAGAAATTTGGTTATCGCCTGACCTGATCGGTTGAGGAGAATATGCAGTCCTAGCATCGTGCATATTGCATCTTACATGAACCTGGTGAGCTATGTGCAATTCTTACTTGTGGCACCTGAATTGCACAAGGTATCATATGCAGATGTCCTCAAGACTGGCCTTGGCTCTGCTAAGGTTCAGCAGGTTATTGCAGGCCCCAAATGTCAAATCTGGGCCACAGTTTTTCTAGTATTGTTCAGCACTGCATTGGTTTATCTGAAACTCTGATTGGAAGGCAAATGTTCACTCAGTAGGCTGCAAAGGGCTCTCTGCTGCCTCGATTGTATACAACTGCTCTCTTATTTAATACACTGCAGTAGCTGAAAGTATGGCTTAGAATGTGGTCCGCATATTTTCTTCAAAGGTTAGGCAACAGCTTTTTTTCTAAAGACAGCCAAAATGTGACAAAAATGTCACAATTTTAAAAGGCATTTTTATTTAAGAAGGTCCAATTGTGAGCCAACCATTTTGTGGAACTGCAATCAAATAATTGTAGAAAATTTTAATTTGTTTTTAGGAGTAACCTTTTGCATTTTATTTCATTGTATATTGTGGTGTTCACTGCTTAGGGTAGCTTCTGGCAGTGAAGAAGTTTATAAATTTGTGAAACAAATGAACAAAATAGTGAGGAAGCTTTTGAACTCTCCAAAAGTCTTCAGGCTGGGTAATAAGTAAATTGGGGGAGGGGAGAAACTGAGGTGGAAGCTTGATGTTGAAGCCACAAAGTCTGCATTTAGTCACAGTAGCAAGATAGAGTGTAGGATGCGCTAGCAGACTTTATTGGATTAGGATCAACTAGGTGCCATGCTAGGATTGCTGGGGGAATGAAACATACAGGAGCTAATCCCACATTTTTGAAAATATAAAATCCAGCAGTTACTCAGCTCCATCCTAAAACTGTGACTAAATGTAGACTTTGTGGCTTCAAAATCAAGCCAGTTTTTACTCTCTCTCCTCCTAACCATGGATTCTGGATTATTATTTTTTTAAGGATGAAAACAGCGCTCTCTCTCTCTCTCTCTCTCTCTGTGTGTGTGTGTGTGTGTGTGTGTGTGTGTGTGTGTTGGAGAATATTTATTTTCTAGTATACTATGTTCCTGCACCAGCACTACACAAGCTGGAATGGGAGGAAATGCAGACGTCACACAGAATCAGTTTCCTCAAGAGATGCTTATTAGTGGTAAAGCTGGTGGCAGGTGTTCTTCTTATTGCATCCCTCCCTTCTATATATAATTAAATGCAGCATACTAGGGTCCCTGTAAACATCATGACCTCCCCTACAGTCCACTGCAGTCTCTTAACAGCAAGCAATAGTGTTTTCCTGCATAAGCATCTATAAGACATGGTTTGTTTATTTGTCCATTTAATCCAATATTATCTTCAATAATACCCCTCTTTATAGTATACTTATATTACATGTAAAACAAGTAAAATATGAATTAGTCCTGCATTTGGCACACTTTAGCTGCCCCCCACTTCCTTCTTGGTGAACCATTATTAAACATTAAGGTCTTCGATTAACCATAGTTTTCTGTTAGTGCAGAAATGGGAACCTATGATTACCAGGTTTGGAACAAGCCAGAATCAAAACTCAAACCATGGCTTAAGATCCTGGTTTGTTCTGAACCTAGTAACCAGTTTCCTGGTTTGACATGACAGGAGATTATTGTTAGTTGGTCTTCCTTATTTATCCTTGTGCCATGAAGGGAAAGGGTAGCACAAAGACAGAGTGTCTGGGCAGACTAGTTCAATATATACACAGCTTTTGGAAGGGTGAATTTTTGTCAACCAAGAAAATGAAGGCTTGTCTGAATAGTTCCCAAGTATAATCAGTACAGCTTGCATGTGAAGTTGTTCAACCTGATCTGAAGAAACAAAAGTGAATGCACAGACCACTGCTTTGCCCTTGAGTTGCAATGTGATTCTGCTCCTCTCAATCCCAGCAAACTGCCGTACCAGGCAAATTATTTAAGCAACACAGAGCTGACCCTAATCTTCCTTTGGTGCAATGTAAACCCCGGAACAAATGAAGAATTCAGTGACTGTACCATAGAGCAGTAATTACAGCTTATCTATTAGGAGTACGTCTTGGTTACATGGCAAGCCTGTGTTGCAAAAAAATAAATCCTACCTATAGTGATGGATTTAATTTTTGAACAACTCCTGGGAAACCGTATCGGCAGCTCTGAAATAGGGCTGAGCTGGTTTGATTTCTGCTATCACACACGACTGATTTGACAAAGAGGGATAGCCATTGAGTTTTCTTTGACTCCAGATACTTCAAACAGCCCTGGAAATTTTGTCTCCTTTTCTTCAGCATGTGAACTGAAATTGACCAGTGATGCATACTTATCTACCACCAATTGAGCAGTGCAGATTTCTCATACTGCTGAAGTAGCTCTGGATGGAAACATAAGAGAGTTGCTTTATGCCAATCCAGATCATTCATCCATCAATAGTGTCAACACAGTGACAGTAGCTCACTAGGATTTCACACAACTTTTCCAACCCTACCTAGAGCTTGAACTGGAGAGCTCTGGTGTGAGACGCAAGTGCTGTGCAGTGGAGCCATCATCTTTCCTAATCAAAAGAGAGGGACTAGCCCAATCAGAATTCTTGGCTGATGAGAGTTGGTTACCCTGGCCTCAGTCTGACCCTAACCACTACAGCAGGGGTGGGAAGCCTGGAGGCCGCATTCCTTCATGGAGAACCTTCTGGAGGCCACAAGCCATTGGGGATGCAAAAGGAGTAGCAAAAGTGACCCCTAAATTTGCACATCCACATAAAGGTCAGTGGTTTCTACACACATTTATATCTCCCTGTTCTCCAAGCAAGAAACATTATCAAGTTTCAGTGATACTTTCCAACCCAGCAAAGGCACTCAAAGGGGGTGTGAAGGAGGGCCGGTGAGGGGTGTGACCTAGCAAAAGTGCCTGGGGTGAGTCCTGAGGGCTTGCTGTTGTTGTTTTTGTTAATTGCTTTGCATCCAGAAGGTTCCATGTTCAGTTCCTCATTTCTCTCTGGCTTTGAATTCCCAGCTGCGAAAGACCAGTCCCAGAATCTCTGGAGAAATGCAACCAGTTGGAGTAAATAGTTCGGCCACATCTGATAAGGCAACTGAATTTAATGAAGACTGTTCTTCATTAAAAACAATAAAACCACGGAGCAGTTTTCACAGTACAAATAAAACCTACAAAATCCCATCACATCATTAGGATATCAACACATACTGTACATTAACCCAATTGTACAGTACACATTTTGAATTATGGTGCTGGAGGAGACTCTTGAGAGTCCCATGGACTGCAAGAAGATCAAACCTCTCCATTCTTAAGGAAATCAGCCCTGAGTGCTCACTGGAAGGACAGATCCTGAAGCTGAGACTCCAATACTTTGGCCACCTCATGAGAAGAGAAGACTCCCTGGAGAAGACCCTGATGCTGGGAAAGATGGAGGGTACAAGGAGAAGGGGACGACAGAGGACGAGATGGTTGGACAGTGTTCTTGAAGCTACAAACATGAGTCTGACCAAACTGCGGGAGGCAGTAGAAGACAGGAGTGCCTGGCGTGCTCTGGTCCATGGGGTCACGAAGAGTCGGACACGACTAAACGACTAAACAACAACAACAGTACACATTCACAATACCAATAGAAAACCAATGGCCTAGCACCCAGCATTTAAAAGCCTCAAAAGCCAGGTGTGAATGAACACATTTTAACCTGACAACAAAAGCTGGACACCTGACACACCTTGAAAGGTAAGAGTGCAACACCGATTGGTGAGATCAAATGAAGAGCAGCCCCTGCTGATCTCAGTGGTCAGGCAGGGAGCTTCTTTAGGTGCTTAGGCTGCTTGATTGTAAAACAACAACCCTCAAAGCAGTTAAAACAATAAAATCAAGAAAAAATCACATTGCCAACTTAAGTTGGTCTCAGAAGCATATGCAGATCCTGGAGAGTAGGTGTATAATGACTCAGACAGGGGGAGAATGTTGGACAATGAAGTGCGCAGTATGTTATAGTGAGGAATATGAGAGCGTGGGCAACTGTGGGGTGCTTGGGGGGCTCCTAGGCTTCCTGTGACAATGATGGATCCAAAAGTACATCTATGCTATGCAATTGCTCCTTCCAAAGAAGCATGAACCCATCCAGAGCAAGCTCATTTTCCAACTCCCAGACATGGAACTCACACTCATGCAAAATGTCCCACCTAACCCCACTGTTCTGTGATCTACAGAGGAGGACGGGACTTGCTCCAGTTGCCTGGGACTTGATATGACTAATGGCCCACAACAGGAAAAGGAAAGTGGCTCCTCTACTTCACCACAATGCGCACAGAGAGCACAATACATGCTAGGTGGAGGCAAGAGCTGGAGGGTTAAACCCTCTGAAGTGCCCAGAATCAGCACAGAACAGATTGACTTATTTGGGCCTTTTGTTACTACCGCGTCTAATGCCTCACAAAAGCAACAGCCGCCAACATCAAGGGACCCAGCAAGTGATCTGGATCCTGTGAAGTCTCTGATCAAAGCGGAGCTTTCGGGATATCAAAGCAGGTTGAACAGAACACGGTCTAGTGATATGATATGAGGGACCGGATTTAAGGCGACCACGTGACACCTTTTCATACACCTATTTATTTCAGCTTAAAAAACAAAGTAGGCCCTTTGATGATATTGCCCCTTTAATGGATTTAATGGTACTGCATTAGCTGCTGGCTGGTAAATGATGAGTTTTTAATGGCCTCATATAACTTGGCTTGCACGGCCCTTATCATGAATCTTGGAAGGACAGCTAAAGCAGAGGTCAATCCAGGGAACAAGCCTGCAGGAAGCCTTGGGATTCAGGGTAAGCTTGCACCAGGATCTCCGAAAACACACACAATTGAGCAGATGCGTTTTTCAGCACTGCTATGCGAGCAACCCTGATGTTCCATTTTTATCAGAAAGCTCTTCCATCTGCTCCATGCCATTGCTGCTCTGACAAAGCTAGGAACAAATATACGGTACTTGGTGCCAATTTCATTAGTAACAGAATTGTAAAATGAAGATCTTGGTTGCTGTTCTTGCTTTTTTCAGATATGCTTCTATTATTATTATTATTATTATTATTTGACAAAGTAAAAATCATACATAAATAAGAATAAAAATATGCACCCCACTACCAAGACCATTCCATTGTAACTACCCAACCTCCCAAAATTTCACCACCTCTTGCGATGGTTTGACCCCTTTCAGATATGCTTCTAACCTATGAAAGAGTGACAAACTGCAACCAGCTATCAGATAAGGCAACCAGAGGAGGAGAAAGAGAATGTGGAACATGAGCTGAACACACAGAGATGATCTGTAGCTCATTGGTAGAGCAACGGCCTTGCATGCAGAAGGTCCCTGGTTCAATCCCCAGCATCCCCATGTAGAGCTTGAGGTGTCACCTGTCTAAAACCATGGATCATCACTATCAGTCAGTGGGTGATAGCCGGTGCTCGTCCTACTCAGAGTAAACCCACTGAAGTTCATATACATGACTAGGTGGACACCATCCATTGCCTACAATACTGAGCTAGGTGGACCAATGGTAGAAGGCAGCTTACTATGTTCCTATGAGCCAGCAAATTAAGGAATATGTTATTGATGGGCTCACAAATGATTCTGAATGGTAAAAAGCCACGTCATCTTAAAGTACTTTCAGAGTTTGCTTTGTATACTATCACAGAACTCTTGCAATTTAGTTGCTCCAGCTTTGCAATGATGGTACAGAGGTACATACAGATTATGAGGGCACCTAAGTGGGTGGCGCTGTGGGTTAAACCACAGAGCCTAGGACTTACCGATCAGAAGGTCAGCAGTTCGAATCCCCGCGATGGGGTGAGCTCCCATTGTTCGGTCCCTGCTCCTGCCAACCTAGGAGTTCGAAAGCACATCAAAGTGCAAGTAGATAAATAAGTACGGCTCCGGCGGGAAGGTAAACGGCGTTTCCATGCGCTGCTCTGGTTTGCCAGAAGCGGCTTAGTCATGCTGGCCACATGACCCAGAAGCTGTACGCCGGCTCCCTCGGCCAGTAAAGCGAGATGAGCGCCGCAATCCCAGAGTTGGTCACGACTGGAACTAATGGTCAGGGGTCCCTTTACCTTTATCTTTTTAAGCATGGACAGTTCCTGTTCTGAGATAAAACACCTTTATCATCAAGACACACATTTGGAATAGATTGCTCACATACAGAGCCAAACTGTATGTGACATTACTTTGTCCTTGAGTGCAGTGTGTGTGTGAGTTTGCATCAGAAATAGCCAGTGTAGGCTGGGGGAGGGGAGCTGGTCTGAACTAGGGCCTTGGTGTGCAAGAATTTAGCCCTTGTGTGGGGTGGGAGGAGCACTAGACTTCTCTAGGCCTAATGAACTAGCATGGGTTGAAAATATCAACTCCCACTGGAATACCAAGACTAGTAAGGAGAAGGAAAACCCACCCAGACCTACTGGACCGTGCCTGGAGATCCAGCAGACGGGAGAAGAAAATGCTCACCCAACCCTGCTTTGAAGCTCCATGGGGCAACCACAGAGTAATCCCTGGTTTTTATAAAAACAGAAGGGGAAAGGAATGAGGTAACAGATTGGATTGTACCACTAAAGACTGTGTGGCCTTTAAGGTAAGATAGGTCCAGGACACTTACATACCAGCACTGTAAATTGAACCCAGAAACAAATTGGGAGCCAATGTAATTGGTGCAGAATTGGTGCAGTACATTCTGACTGCCTTGCTCCTACCAGAATCCGTTCAGTCACATTTTGTAGCAATTGTGGTTTCCCAAACGTTAAAGGGAGCTCCATATAGAGAGAATTGTAACAGGGCAGTCTGAATATAGCAAATGTTATGACTATAAACTGAGGTCAGATTCACCTCCTTTGGGAAAGACTATAGCTGGCAATCTGGTAAAAGGTGCCCCTAGCCTCATGGTATGCCCCACGGAGGACCTTAAGGTCTGCAAATAATAACACCCTGAAGATTTCAGGCTCCAGGGAGATCAGACTGGCCTCGACCAAAGCCAGGGCCTTTTCGGCCGTGGCCCCAGCCTGGTGGAATGCTTTCTCACAAGAGATTAGGGCCCTGTGGGATTTGTCATCTTTCCACAGGGCCTGCAAGGCGGAGGTGTTCCGCTAGGCCTTTGGTCAGGGTTCAGTCTGATTCTTTTCTTTCTGTATAAGAACAAACATTGAAGAGGCCTCCTAGCCCGCTCACAGGTCCTTTATAAGACCATTGTTAACAGTTGGCCCAGGAGAATATTAACCACTCTCAATTTTACCCGTGGACTGCCATTTCTCCAGATTTTAATTTGCTCAGAACTAATTTTAGGATGTATTTTAACTAATTGATTGCCTGTTTTTATGTTCGTTGTATACTGTCTTAGTTTCATGATGTTAGACACCCTGAGCCTGGCTCCGGCCAGGGAGGGCGGGGTACAAATAAAAAATGATTATGATTATTATTATTATCACTAGCTGAGCACCCATGCCAGATCTAGGAGCACCCTAAAATTCTGCACTTGCTCCTTCAGGGAAGTGTTGTCCCACCTAAGGCATGATGTATGCCTCCACCAGGCCAGCAGAGCTCCCAACACCCACCTAAAAATGTGAACTTGCGTGCCATTTGTGTAGTTCTTAGTGACTTTTTAACATATTCCCTCTTAAGAGAGTAAGCCTATTTGAATCCATCAGGAATGTCCTATATGTGCCTCATTAAAACATTCACATTTCTTTGATTAAGTTATCTGTGTAAGGAGTTTTATTAAGCTAGGTAAATATGTGTGAAGCCTGGGTTCAGCTAACAGACATCTTTTAAAGTAAATCAAATAATCTGATAGGGAAAGGTGACCTAGACTGGGAAGAAAGGTTTTGGCAGTAGGACTCAAGGTATTTTACTCATTAAACTCACGATCCATCACAAATATATTCAGATGGAAAAACATATTTTAAAACACTTTCTCATTTAGAATGAAAGTTTTACAAGAAAAACTAACAGCATATTCGCACATCAGCCATTGTGCAGATTACCTAACAGAACAGGCTTCTACGTAATTTCTTAAAAAACAGTAACAGGTCTAACATATGCCCCAGCTCCAAATTAAGGGCATGTCTAAACCACAGGGGATTTTAGGAAACCTTAAAATGTTAGTTCAGTGAAGAAGGACTCCACTCTTGGCTAAACATGCCACCCACGAGCTCATCTCTTCTGCTCCTCCCACCGCCATCACAAGAAGCAACGCTGGTCTCACCAACGAAAAGCAAAAGACATTGTCTTTCCAGTCCCATCTGATCTGAATGGGAAAAGGCCACGTTCAGTAACAACAGTAACAACAACCTTGGCTTAGCAAACCATGCTGTGTAGGTGTACATAGCCTGGTCACTCCTCCATCATTTCTCCCTTAGTGTGAGTGGGTAAGCAAAGCATCTGGACCTAGGATCAAAGTCTGGTTCTCCCCAAGAAGCCTATAATATGCCTTTAAACATGGTTTGTTGATGGCTTATAAATTCTAGCTTGTTAGGGAGAAACAAACCATGATCCCAGGCTCAGATGTAATGCTAAGCTATCTGCCTACTCACTCATGCAAATGGAGGAGCAAAATGGGAGCAATTGGGCTGTGACAAAGCATGATGGCTTATTAAGCCAAGGTGATTGACTGACTGTTATGTGTGAACAGGGTTATTGTCCTTCTGATGATGCTTACACCACAGTCCCAAGAGCAGTTGTTTCATTCCACACCTCCGAATGGCCAACACTCCAGACTGGTCTGGGGCTGTACTGCAGACCAATTGAAGAAGAAGTGGATTCCACAAAATGTTCTATCACAGACTTGCCACTCCAAAACAACAAATGCAAGTGAATTGACTGCCAAGACACACTCCATCCAGCCTGCCCAGCCATGTTTGAAATTTTAAACTGCCTACTATGTGGCAGCTCATGAGTAATTCCTTTGCATGTGTATAACTGCAAATGAACACCAGGGAATGTCTGGGGGACATTCTAAGACAAGCAGAGACTGTTTTGCTCACACTGTTCCAGAAAGGAAGCAACATGGATCATGGTGGGAACAGAGCATAATAGCAGGAAATAGCACGCTTGTGTAAATATATGTATATAGATATAAACCAACAGTTTTGATACAGGTATTTCTGCCATTTCAAATATCCTGTACCTTAGAAAAGAAGGGCCACATTCACTGTTAACCTGATCAGGCAAACCATAGTGTGTTGCATCTCACAACCAAGACAAGAGGCTTAATACCATGACACGACTGCAGAAAGTTGGGAAAGAGGGTCAACTTTGCAAAGCCCTATGTGTTTGGCATCCAAGTGCCAAACACTAACAATTTGCTTCCAGAGGAATGGCTTTCATATGTCCTTCATGCCTCATCACTGATGTAGAATCTCTCAACTAACACACTTCTGTGTACTCAGCCCTTCCCATTGGCAATATACAAAGCTGCCAGTCATATGAGGTGCCTGGATCATCAGGTGAGTTCACATCTCATCCTTGTACCATCCATCAGGTTGTTGTAGGGAGCAGCCATTGAATGATGCTTTCACAGGTTACCAATGCAACATGGGAGCCAACCACAAAGAAGAAGGTTCACACAGGTGAACTGGGCTCAGTCGTTCCTATAATAATCCAGTAAAGTGGGCCACTATTATTCTCTCCAGATTGCCACTGGGAAACTGGTTCAGAGATGCTGCTTTGCTCAAGGTTATCTAGCAAATTTATAGCTGATCTGGGATTTGACTGGGGGGAGGGCTAAGTACTTGTGCTCTTAGCTTCTATGTTGCCAGTAACTCTGTGAAATGGGTCGGGGGGGGGAACCCTGGGAATATAGAATGGTTGATTGCTTTGTCAATATTTAAAGCCCCAGGTTTCAAACATAGTATGTGAAAACGAGGATTGTGAGTTAAGAAATAAAATTGGCCCTGTCATCCTGTGGTCCCTGAGAGGGCATCACAGGGACCATAGCATCATATCTCTCTCTCCACAGACAAAGAGAATGCCCCATTCTTGGATTCCCTTCCCCACTCCCAACGAAACTTTGCCTTGCCCTGTGAAATTTGTAGGGCTGAAAAGGGGGTGTGCCAGAAGCGATTTTGGGAACTGCCAGGCATTGGTCAGGGGAAGGCATGGATCCAATGCTCTTCCACTCTCTCACCATGCTCCCTAACTAGGGTGGGGTAGGGGTATGCCAGCCCAGGAACTGGTATAGTTTATTTCCCTTCCAGTGGGAGGAAAATCAAATTTCAAAAGTAGTAATGAACAGAGGAATACCAGAGAGCTTTTCCACTTTCATTTCTGTCCAGCTGATGAAAGCCCAGTGGGGAATTGGATGCAGACGATCAACTGCTTTTCTGGTCCCTCCATACTTCCCTACCTGAGGATTTCAGCCTAAGAGTCAGGCAGTCTTTGAAAAAATTCAGGACTCCTCCAGATGAACTATTCCAGGCATAGGCAAACTCGGCCCTCCAGATGTTGTGGGACTACAACTCCCATCATCCCTGACACTCATCCTGTTAGCTAGGGATGATGGGAATTGCAGTCCCAAAACATCTGGAGGGCCGAGTTTGCCCATGCCTGAACTATTCACTGAGCATTCATCCCAATTTGTTTGCACAAAGTTTACATGGGGCTTAGCATTCACTCTTATTTTTTTGTGAGCAAGTTATACAACAGTGAGCATTCATCTTGCATTCATCCTGATTTGCTTGATGGGTATTTAGATGTCTTCCCAATGCTGATTTCTTCATGCCACACTTTTCAATGCATCTGCCACTTTGCTAACTGTAAAAAGGGCATTTCATTTGAAAGTAGATTTGCTGTGCTAGAGCGGCAGATTATTTTAATCCACTTTTATTGAGCAAACCTATATTTCCTGTTATGTGCTCGAAACCCTTCCACAAAATGCTGACAGTTTGGCCCTTGTGGCCACTGAGTCAGGCTCTCCTATATTGCAATTGTGTGCTGGAAGAGCAAACTAAGCTATACAAAGTCAGTGTGATTTATGCTGGGGTAATTTACTCCTACTGGGGTAATTTACACCAGTGTAATTTACTCCTATTCCAGGAATGGGGTTCCTGTTGACTTGAGGCCAACCCAAGCCAGGCAGAAGGGAAAGAAGCCTTTAAAACAGTTTAGACTTTTTACAGTGTAACTCCACTAGGTTGAAGGTCGCATGGCTGAGCTGAATGGAGTTTGGAATCAGGGTCAGCCTCCCCAATCCCAGCCCTGCCACACCACAGGAACATGTATTCTCCAAGACTTTCTCTGTCCTCAGCTCAGTTGAAGATCCACCTCTTCCAAACTCTGCTCATCCCAGTGGAAACTGGGTTTGGATTGCTCCCTTAGCCTGTGTGTTTTATGGACAGTAATTACAATATCCTCTATTGGCTTCATTTTTACTGTTCTCACCTCCTGTTCTTTCAGCTGATTCTATCAGTTGATTAAATCGACAGAAAATTAACCCAATTTGCTATAAAGGCAAGCAGACTTTCCACATTTTGGGACATTAATAAATCTGAGCCTCCTTCCTCTTGCATTTATATAAGTAATTGAAAATTCCCAACCAGACCCTGCTGAAACACCACTGCTTTCCTTATTCTGGTTTGGTATAAGCAATTTAGAATGTATTGTTTTCTGAGATGTATTCACATCTTAAGCCACATGTATTTCTTAACCCACTTATTTCAAATGGAGATTTGCCAGAAGCCACACGACAGTCAATGTATACTACCTTCTGAATTTGCCCAGTCCACAAAATTAGGCACTCTGTAGGTAAAGCTCTTCTCTTTACCTTTTTCACAATTCACTATTCATGCTCACCTTGGGATGCAAATATTGTTCCATCTCGTACTATGTATTTAAAATCTGAAAAGTATCAGCATGACCTCTATTCAGTGTTCTTAAAAACGCTCTCATACGGGGACAGTGATCATTGCACAACTAAACAATCAGGAATAAGCTCAAGTTCCCAGAATACTCTCTCATTTGGAAGAGGCTGCCAATTCCAGAAATGAATCCAAAATATATTGCTCTCCACTCCTCTTCCAGATCAACTTTTCTAAGGGGTTACACCCTATCCTTACTTAGTGTCTGAGAATCACTGTTTACAACTTTGTCTCTTTAAACCTTGACCCTGGTCAACAGTGCCAGGAATTAAATCATGTCTTTGGAAAGGAATGAGATCCATAGATAGGGCATTCTGTCTTTTGGGAATCCCACAGAATGAGATGATTGCAAATTACAGTCCTGTTTTCCAACCTTTGGGAGATCTGGCACAGTTATAGTGGGCAGAGATATCTGTTTATAGGATAAACCTGAACTGTTAAATAAAATTAAATGGTAAATTCCCCAGTGCTGCTGGGCAGTGTCCCTACAGGCACAATGCGTGTTTATCAGTTTCCTACTGAGCTGAGTTTGACTTTCAAATTTCCTTTAACCCTATCATAGTAAACATACTGCAGAATTCTGGCAAACACTCCCCTTGGAAAAATAGATGTTGCTTGTTAAAATAAAATAAAATGGTGGCTATGTCCAGGACTGACTTTGTCTTGTTTTGGAAAGGCACAACACAACATTTCCCAATGAAACTTCAAAGCCTAAAATGCTATATTATTATAAACCAAAGAAACAAGCTTGTTTTTATAAAGGGTGGATTTTGATTACTTTTGATAAAATCTCTGGCTGCAGTTGTCAAACCTCAGATGAACTGCCTTCAGTGGTGTTACTCTAAAGTAAGTGCTTAGCCGCTGGTGCCAGGTTCAGAGCCCAGTCTGGATGGGGATAGGCTGGTGGCACATTGTGCTAAAATTATGAAACTTTTGTTAACCCTGTCTCTGTGCTGTGTTCCCTGAATGATTTTTTCTTCTAACAGTAAATGTTTTCTATGGAGCAAGGGAGGAGGACAAAGTGAGGCATGAGAGAGAGGGAGAGAGCGTGCAAGCTAACTGGTGAGGACAAGAGTTGACTTTCTGTGCAATGAGGAAAATGAACTTGGTTGGTTTACGGAAAGTAGAAGAGTTGAATGTTATTATGAAGCAATAATTTTGCACAAGTTTTTGAAGGTGATAAATGGAGAACTGGGATTTTTATCCTTTTCTCTTTTTTTCTTCTCTATTTTCTTTTAATTTTTATATTTAAAAATGCTTGATATTTGATGTTTATTTCTGTACACTGTTTTTTTCTATGTTCCTTCAAGCTTTAATAAAATTTCAAAAAGGAACCTGGGACATTCTACACTCAAAGCCTGAATTTCAGACTGTACCAAGCTATTTTGCTATAAAGTAGCTTCACTGAAATTAATTAGTCCTGGTCATTCATTTTAATGATTCTGCTCTGAGCACAGCTAAATTAAATGCAACCCAGAGTTTTCCAGTGGTGCAGTGCTAGTAACTCTTCCGGCATTCGCCATTCTTTAATCAGATGTTTCCATTTCCCTTAATTACCAAATAGAAACCTTTGCCACCTGTCCCACCTGGCACTGTGCAAATACCATAGATCCGCACTATGAAATATGCTGGCACACAAACAGTCTTGTTCACATCGCAACTCCACTCCCCATGGAATTCTCATTAGTGGAGAAGAGATGAGGAGAATGCCATTAGTTTCTGCTCAAAGTCAGTCTTTGGGTTTTATGAATGCATCATTCAGTCCCATCTTTGCATTTTCCCTCAGAAGTCCTACTATGTTCAACAGGGCCTACTATCTTGTAGGTGTGCAGCTTTAAACTCAGTGGGTCTTATTATGAGACAAACATGACTAGGCTCTTGGAAGGTACATGTATTGTATGCATTGTGACCAGAGCCTGGAAAGCTCATTATAAAATGGAACAAGTTCTAGCTCAAGTTCAACACGTCAAAAAAGGAACGAATTCCAGTTCATGCTGAGCCCTTTACAAATTGAACTAGTTCAGTTCACAGTTCAAGTTAATCCATATTGTCTTTGGGGGGAAAAAATTCAGAATTCAGTGTTGAAGTATAAATTATACTTAAGAAGACTAAGAAAACATTGAAACACACACAGCGGAATGTGCATTGTTCTTTTCCAAAAATTATGGACATTATTGTTGTTGTTATTATTATTATTATTATTATTATTATTTATACTGCCCTTCATCCACAGTTCTCTGGGTGGTTCACAGCATAAAAAACTTTAAGCTAAAAGCTCCAAAGTGTCTAAAGAGTAAAAAAAAACACCACATCATTCTCTTATAATAGGAGAATGAACTTGAAGATGCAATAGGAATCATTCAAAGCTCTACTGGAAAACAAACTCAATTCACATTCAGTTCATCTGGCAGTTATGGGAACTGCTCTCAGACCTAGTTCAGGTATTTTTGAACTAATTCAGTGCACTTTGTTAAACTGAACTAGTTCTTTCCAAGCACTGATTTTGACAGATAACAAATCTTCTGATTTGTAGGTGTGATAACATATGTATCAGCTATGGGGGACAGCCAATATTAGTCATATTCTGAAAAGATTGATTGGAATGGGTCTGTTCTGAATACAGCTAACACTGGCTATCATCCTGATTTTTTATTAAGCATTTCAGAATTGCAAAGGGGGGGGGGAGGTCAAACTTGAAGCAGAACTGAATGACGTACACATTGCAAGAAAATTAGTATAAAAAGAGAGTCGTGCATTAGATCAGCCTTTCCCAAGCTGCTGGTTGGGGCAGATGCGAGCAGCTGTGCAAAACATCTGGAGAGCACCAGCTGGCAGAAAGGCTGCATTAGACAATGTGCTGTGATATTGTAAAGAACTCACATCCTTCCAGAATGTGGTACGAGGCCGAGGGGGAAGTTACGCGTCTTGATTTCTGTTAGCATGTGATACGAATGATCAATAAAGCAGTCGTTTTGTGCCATGCCATAAAGTACATCTCCTTGCCGCATAGTGCTTCCATGAGAACAAGCCACCATGAAGCTTTATGCCATTGAGAAATAGTAATTCCATATTTTTCCAGGGCTTAGTGATCTCTAGCCTAGCTGCCAAGAGGCAGTACGTGATCACATATAGTATAGTACAGTACAGAACGTTGTTTGCTAAACTGTTTTGGTACTTCAGCTGTCTCTTATTGAGAGAGAGAGAGACAGAGACAGAGAGAGAGAGAGAGAGAGAGAGAGAGACTCACACTGGGTCATGGGGGGCCTTAAGGAAGTGGAGCTAGATCATACCCACCTGGCAGTGCCCACTCTAGGAAGAGATGCTGCTGGCTGCTAACATTACCAGGTTCAGACCCTGGGAAGTCTGCCGCACCTTTTAGAGTCTCATAGAAGGACCAATTTCATCACCATTCATTTCTTCTCCCATCACAGAGCTAGAGTAAGGGATGAAGCTGCACATGGTACATTTTCTTTTCTGAGAAACTCTTAAATATACATCAGCTCTGTTAAGGTCCGGGAAGGCAACCCAATTAAGTGTACTACTGTCTTCCAGCTAGCAGTTTGCTAAATATGTGGTTAAGGGCTCTGAGTGACTAGTTTTCATAGAATCAATGAGTTGGCAGAGACCACAAGGGTCATTTAGTCCAGCCCCCTGCAATTCATGAATCTTTCTCCCGACACGGGACTCGAACCCACAACCCTGAAATTAAGAGTCTCATGCTCTACCAACTGAGCTGTTCAGCACATACAGCAATATTGCCTGCCACCCAACATATGCTTACCTGCTTACAGTAGAGATAATTTTCATTTAATTCAAGGGGATTTGCTTCTAGAGTAAAGCACCTGTAAAGCGAGACGAGCGCCGCAACCCCAGAGTCGTCTGTGACTGGACTTAACTGTCAGGGGTCCTTTACCTTTACCTTTTTAGATACATATGCATAGGATTGGACTGCAAGATTACATATGGATTAGAGCTTTCCGAGACAAAGGAAGCAATAATGTAGAGGAATCATTGCTGTGGTGTGTACATGTTCCCTTTTCTCTTTCTGTCTTTTCTTTTTCTGATGCCCACAATGGTTTCTGTGATTATGCAGATTTTCCAGAGGATAAGATTTAAAACGAGAACTTTGAACAAAAGGAATCACCAGAACCACAGCAATCGGTGCATGAGTGTTTTGGTTTGACTGTTCCTGTTGCCACCCTTATGCTCAGAGCAAGTTGTGGAAAACAGTTGGGTGTGTTTATTAAAGTTTTAAACACTAATGAAAACTAGTTAAAGATTTCCCTAAGAGGAAAGGCAAAGCACATGGAACTTTTTAGTTTAGATTTAAAAAAAAAAAATTAAAAAATTATGCACAGTGCGGAGAAAATGGATAGATAGAAGCTTTTCTCAATAATACTAAAGCTGAGGGAGACGCAGTGAAATAAAAGGTAATGAATAAAGGGCAAAGTGAGATTATTGCAGAATATGCATTACCATTCGGAACCACTAGTTATCATATTTGGACACATTAATGTTCTGGTCTTACTAGAGGACAGAGAAATGTTGCCACTTTACCTGTTGCTTTTATGGCAATTAGTTGTAATGGTGGGTCAGTATCAATATTTAGGGAATATTTAGGGTATGGGAAGTGGTCCAAATGACAAAATTGACAAATGTCGTTTGGGCAAGGGAACAAAGACAACTTAATGCCTGCTTTGTTTTAAAATAGCATCTCTTCTTTATGTACTAAGCAGCAAAAGACAAGATAATGTTGAATCCTATACTTTTTGGGAAACTTTGTAATAATATCCAGTAAAGATATGAATTAACAGCTTCCAGTTTAAAACTAAAATAAAGGACAGAAAACAGAAAGTACTTCATACTGTTCCTGGCAACAGGATACAGAAATAGCCCGTAGCATAGATGACTTTGAAAGAGAATTAGGCAAATAGATAGGCTGATGACAGGTCTATCAATGGTGATTAGGCGTACTAGCTAAATGGAACCTCCATATTAATAAGCAGTATACCTCTAAATACCAGTTTCAGTGGGGCATCATGCATATGGCTTTCAGTAATGAGGGCTTATGGAGGTATTTGGTTTGTCACTCTGCAAGAGAGAGCTCTTTGGTCTGGTCCAGAAGGGTTCTTAGGTTCTTAGAAGCATATCCTCAAGTGCACACACACAGGTTCTCTATCTCCCTCTCTCTTTCACTCACCACTCCCTGCCCCACACCACCAAGGCTACCCCTATCAGTCAGCGTTAGAAATTCCCCAGGTGCCAGACGTGTTTTGCAACTGGTGTGGGTCCAGTTGTGACCATGTGGAGATCTATGGATTCGACTGACATCTCCATCTGGCTGGCCCCTCCAGCTTTCTTAGGTAGGTAAGCAGAAGAACTTATTTATTGCATTTATATCTGACCTTTTTCTCCAATGAGTACATGGTTCACTGCCCTCCCTCCCCCCCAGTTAATCCCCACGACAACGACTGAGTGGGGATTTGAACCCTGATCTCCCAGGTCCTAGTCTGACATGCTAACCACTACACCACATTGGCTTCCTAGAGTACTTCTGCTATGGGGCAGCTATATAAATGAAGTAGGTAAAGAAATATAGGGAAAGCAAAACGTCACTTAGAGAAGGATCTGAAATATTTTCCTTGAAGTTTGAATTTCTTTTATTCTGGATTGTTTTATTTGATGTTTTAATGTGTGGTAAACCGCTTTGAGATTTTTTATTTAAAATATAAAGTAGTAGCTGGTCATTGACCAAAATAAATTATGATGATGATAGTATAAAAATGAAATGAAGAAGAAGAATAAATCTCACAACTTAAAAAAGGGCACCCCGACATCCCATTGTGGTGACTGTAACCTGGGTTTAAGGTGCCATTGGCAGTTAGCTTATATACCCGAGTTTCAAACAGCAATGGATTTTTTTTCCAGAATGAGACAGAGGTCCCTCCTATCTGATTTTACAAAAGGGAAACTGAGGCCGAGAGTAATTTGCGTAAGGTCACAACCACTGAGCCCATGGCCATGCTGGGATGAGAGATCTGCTCTCCCAGTTCCAGGCTTAACCCCTCTATCCGACGGGTTATGGATCAGCAGATTCCAGCCACTGCCGTTGCTAATGTAAACACCGGCGGCTCCCAACTCCAGTTTGGGAGTCTGTGTTGATGCAAATGGCAGGCAAAGTGCATGGCAGCATCCCGAATGATTGAACTCCCCAGAAGAAGGCAGACAGATTCACAGGATTTGTCTTGAGTTTCCTGCAGATCTGCTAACCAAAGCAAAGAGGAGTCACTGAGAATCTCCCTAGAGTGTTTAAGTATTTTTATTACTGCTGTGTGTTTTTTCGTAAGCCACAAGACAGGAGAGGGGGGAAACCAGGGGCTCGTTCTCCCTGAGAAGCCTCACATCTTCAGCTGCTGTCAACCACTATTCATCAGATGCGCAGCTGACGTTCCCAGGATATTGTTCTCTCCAGCCTTCTCCGTTTGATACATTTTTTGAGGGGAGCGGGGAGATGAACTAGACAGCACACATCTGTCCTATCACAACTCCAGAATGACAAAAGCCCACAATATAAGAATGAAACATATGGCAGAACTGCATAGCACGCACAGCTCTGGGCTGCAACACCTGGCTCACTCGTGGCTTGGCTTGTTCCCTGCCCAAATGTGCATGAGACGCACCATTTGAGGATGGCAGCACACGTCTGCGATTGATGTCTGATGCACTGTGTCAAGTGCTGGCTGCCTCTCTGCCTGTTCACTCATTCGGTGCCATTTACCAGTGGCACTGCTTGCCACACATTGGGGAAAGGAGACTATCAAATGATGCATGGCCTGGGGGAAAGTGGAGAGACACAAAAGCTCTTCTCCCTCTGCTGTCACACTACAACTTGTGGACCTCCAAGGAACGTTGGAAGTTTCAGAGAAGATGGAAGAAGGTGCTTCCAAATCTATGGAACTCGCTTCTACAGGAGGCAAGTGATTGCCACCAACTTGGATGGTGTGGAAAGTCGATGAGACAATTCATGGAGAATAAGGCTATGCCAGAGTTGGAGGCAGTGATTTTTCTGAATATCAGTTGCTAAAAACGGCAGTAGGGGGAAATGCTCTTGGGCTCAGGCTTCCCCGAGCTTGCAGGTTTCCCACAAGCATCTTACAGGCCACTGTGGGAACATTAGGATGCTGGACTAATGGGCTTATTAGCCTGATCCTGCAGGCTTTTCTTGCATTCTTAGATGAAACAGCCAGACAGATAACCCAGCCCAGGAACAAGCATGCATTGGCAGCTTCAGTTCAGGAGGATAAAAGCAAGGGGGTGGTCTGGACCCCAGCACCCACTGCCTGATGTGATCACTTCCCTTTGCCTAACGGTAGGGCCAGCTCTGAATTGACCCAGACATGTTTTTTTTTTGGGGGGGGGGAGCCATTCTGTACCCACTGGGAAAAGATGAGCAATGGATTTGACAAGGAGGGACTATAGAGGGAAGCAGGACTGATTTGTGTAGACTTTGTGTCACACATGGTTTTCTCTACATGATGTTGCTCCTAATCTTCACTGTGTAGATATGTGGAAATTAAGGTCAGACATCAGTTTACAATAATATGATAACTGGGCTGTCTTTGTAAGTCATACTCACTTCCCCTGCCATAATGACTAATTTGGTGTTAATGTGTGGTATAAGAAGGCTGTAAGTAAATAAATTGCAATTTACACATACCCCTTTTTTTAGTGTGGTGCATTTGTAAAAACCAGTTAAGTGCCATGCAGATTATTCATAGATAAATATCCTATCTCAGCAGCTAAAACCAAATCCACCTTTTCCAAGCAGAGTCAAAGCTTTTCTCATTGCTTCTGCATGCTTACAGAACGGCTGAGGTTGCTCTTCTGAACCCATTCATACCAGATTTGTAGGGAACCTGACACAGGAACAGGGATCATGCAACATTTTATTATCTTATTTCACACTATTCAACTATGCGACCTAAACAAATTTGTTCATCAGATTCCATAACCCTAAGTAACATTTTCCAACTTCGACAGTGTCTCCTCCCCTGCAGCAATAGTCTTGTGGCACCTTAAAAACTAGCATATTTATTATGGCATAAAATAAGCTTATGATGTAATAAACATAGGAAGCTGCCTTACACAGAGTCAGACCATTTGTCCATCCGGTTCAATGTTGTCTACTCTGACTGGCAGCAGCTCTCTAGGGTTTCAGACATGAGCCTTTCACATGATTATGAGCACAGAATGTTATGTCAGAAACGCATTGGTTTTATTTTTAAAAAATTGGTGACAAATGCCGCTCTGGCATCTAATTGATATTGCCACTCTCTGAGCCAGGTGTGACTTCTTGTTCTATCAAGACACCATTAAGTTCCATTACGTTCATTGTCCCCAGTTTGTTCTATTGATTTCAGCAAGTATTGGACGTCACTACCTTTATCTGGATTGGGGCCGATTGCTTGTAAACCAATTTATTGTCCATTGAAATCATTAACATTTTATTCCAACTATCTGGGTCTATGATCAGGGTTGGCATGTTACATGCCATAATCACTTACTTATTCACAGTAATTCTGACTGAATCTAAGAGGGCAACACCAAGTGTATATGTGCAGGATTGCAACCACACAGGGAAGTACTTCTTGTGCATGAGCGTCCTTAGGCTCAAAATCATTTAAGGTTTTGAGTGCACAAGCTATAACTGGTGTTGAGATAGGTCTGGACATTTTCTGATCAATTTTCAACGAGGTGTGATAATCTTTTTATTCTGCCTTCAGCTTTATAATGAATGGGCAGCAAAAGAGCAAAGACAGACAAAGAAAATAAAAGAAAATAAGCCTTGCTTGATTTTTCAGTCCGCATACCAGAACAATGATTTAGGCAATATTTATTTCCTAACCTTATTCTACAGTAAAGAAAATTAATCCAGCAAGGCAGCACAGTGCCTGCATTGTATTTCTGTTGGTGGGAAGTCAAGAACCTGAACTGATGTTAGATTTCATAGTGAATTAGCATGCAGTAGCACTGATGTGGTCTGATATGCTAAGTGCTAATTAAGGCACAGCAAGTGGATCTTGCACCTGTTGCTATTTTATTCAGAAGGCATTGTTTGGATTCCTGCAGATTTACATCAAAACCATTTTCTATAGCGATTGGGGCTGGCTGGGACTCAGGTTCACCTTACAGCATTCAAGAGGCTTTTAAAGTGAGTGCTTTTCAACGCTGCAGTCCTTTCGCCCCTCTTTAAGAACTTTGCCCTCTCGAAAATAAAGAAAAGTCTAGCCTGTTATAAGCTATTAATTTTGTCCTCGAAAATCCCCCAAAGAAAGTTATATAACCACTTGCACAACCCTTCACTAAAAATAAAAGCGCCTCTGCAATTTTGAAAAGATAGCTGGCACCAAGGTTTATTAAAGTATTACACAAATGCAAAAAATTCTTGCTTCAGTTTTTAAAGTGGGAGGGGGGAACCTGGGATAGAGAAGCACTTCTATTATGGTGATGCACCTCTTCAAAATATCTAAAATTATACTGTATATATTCAAAATACATGGTTAAAAATGGTGCCATGTGTACTTGGAGCTATTTTAGGGTGAGGTTCTATAATCAACTCAAAGTACAGAAGGATGCAAAGCGGAGTCAGACCTTCATCCAGCCACGTCTATCTCACCCCCACCCTGGTGTTGCCTTCACCCTCGCCCAGGAGTCAAATTTGCTTTTCCCCGGCAGGGAAAGAAGCGCCCTACGCATTCCTCAAGACAAACCCCAGGTGTAAAACCGCGGTCCCTTAGAGCTACAGGACTCGGCACGAACTAGGCTGCTGAGAGCAGGAGGACCCATGAAAACTGACGTGGGTTTTCGTCTAAAACCAGGATGCTGGGAGACTGGATCTTCCCAAAGACTGAGGTTCACATCGTAGGTAATGCCTTAGAAGAGGGGTGTTGCATTTTCAGAACACGTTTTATCACAAATAAAGGAGGACTGGTTCCATGTGCAGATCGCCCACCCAGGTAAAAAATAGCTGGAGAGGAATTTCCCCATTAAAAAAAAAAAGAAGTGAAAAATTCCAAGGGTTAAAATAATAAACTCACACTCACATTCTTACATATAACCTCGATTATCCAAGGCACCCTACGCCCTATTTCAATGCATCTGAAGGTATTGGGCCAAAACACAGGCACATACATGCACAAGTCAATAAATATGAATGCAAATGAACCCCAGCTAGGATGGAGTACCTGTCTGTTGCTGGAACAGCTTTCGCCTGCTCTCTCTGTCCCGGGTTTTAGAGGTATATATTCCAGGGCAGTGGCTTTAGCAAGTGGGCTCTGCCAAGGTCTCTGCTCCGATGCCCATAGGGATGTCTGCTGCGGGAGAGCTTCGCGCGCCTCGCTACGCCAGGAGCTGGAGCTGCCTTGCCTGGAGAGACCCACTGGAGGAGAGAGGCTTTGCACTGACTCCTCTCAGTCACCGCATGGGGATATTATCAAAGTCTAAGCTTGCTATTGGCTCCGATCACCAAACAAATCACACTCGCCTCCCGCTTCAAACCGCTCCCCCCACCCCCTGCCGCCGCCGCCGCCGCCTTAGACTCAAGGCTCTCTCCCTCCCTCCCCGGGAGGGGGGGGGCAGGAGCCGGGAGGGGGGGCAGGAGCTTATTTCCGCGCATTTGCAACCTTGCGTGCAGCAGGTCCAAGAGGAACGTTCACAAACGGACTTTCTAAACCCGGGGCAAAGAATCGCTTAATCGCTTTCCTTCCTTACAAAGAATCGCTTAATCGCTTTCCTTCGAAGAAAGGGGTGGGGAGAAGTTAGATTCCCCAACTGGTCTGCGGGGTTCAGGAGAGGAAGACAAGGGTCCAAAGTGGTAGCTACACAAAAGAATCGGGATATTTAATGTCGAAAACTAGAAACGGAATTTGCTGGGCATCTTCTTCATGAGCCTAATTTGTGCAGTTGGCCTTATTTCAGCCCAACTGGGGCTATGGACGTATTATTTATCAAGTAAATAAATAAATAAATAAAAATACTTAAACAACTAACCAATCCAGTCATGGTTCTGCTTGGTTCTGCTCCCCCCACCAAAAAAAAAGTCCTGCCCCCACAACATAAATCCTGGCTACACCCATAACTGGGTCAGAATGTGATGTCTTGTTCTTTGAGTGGCCTTCACACCCTCTCCCAGGTTCAGGCCCCAGCATCTCCCAGCTGGGAGAGACCTGGCCTGGACCAAGGGTCTGGACTTTGGATAAGTCTTTTCCATCCCCAACCCAACGGAGCAGTCTACTAAGCATCTTTGAGTCTCAGCGGGCTGTACCCCACCCAAAGATTTTGTGTGTTTCTTCAAGCCTGCTGATACCTCCTGTGTGTGTGTGGTGCTGTTTTGGCTGCATAAGGATACCCACTCCTGAACACTGGAAATAAAAAGAATCATACAATTTAGTATCCACAAGATACAGTGGAACCTCGGGTTATGTACCGTCCTCCTTATGAACGCTTCGGGTCACAAGCCTCGCTAACCCAGAAGCAAATGCTCCTGGTTGTGAACTTTGCCCTGGGATGCGAGTGGAAGTCGTGTGCTGGCAGCACGGCGGCAGCAGGAGGCCCCATTAGCGAAAGCGCACCTCAGGTTAAGAACGGTTTCGGGTTAAGAACAGATCTCCGGAATGAATTGAGTTTATAACCGGAGGTACCACTGTACACCCTGAAAGAATAAGGCTAGTCTACTCTGAAGGGTCCAAGGCAGGCCATGTGGCATAGAAAGTTGTCCTTCAAAAGAGGGAAATACTGCAAGGTTGCGGGGAGCTGAAGAACAACGACCAGCATCTGCCTCCTAAGGTAGTTGACTCCTTTTGCCTAATGGTAGGGCCATCCCTGCATCTCACTCATATTTCAGTGAAGTAGGTCTTCCTACTTGAATAAATATTCCTCAGCCACAGAGTTGCCTTGCCACCAAGTTTCCTTGAATGAGCTTCTAAGAAAAATGTGAAGGTTTCCACTCGGCAAAACATTGGAGGCATTTCAAGGGAAGTAATACAGTAAAAGCAGTGTCATTTTTCAAGGATAACCACAGAGCGACCAACACAAGTAGGATTGAAGGGTCAGATGGATTGATTGATACTCTTAATCTTGGAGTCATGGTTTTAAGCCCCACGTTGGGCAAAAGATTCCTGCATTGCAGGGGGTTGGACTAGATGACTCTTGCGGTCCCATTCCAACTCTACAATTCTATGACATCCTGCCTTTCACCCAGTGGAAGCTCCAGGAGGGTTATTCAGATGTTCTCTGAATGCAAATCCCAAATGCTTGTGGGGGAAGCAGGACCATAGCTACTGGTTGTACCCATTCACACCCCCCACATAGGGAAGTCCACCTCCTGCCACACTCAGCATGCAGCATTATTGAGAATGTGTCTTATGCACTTGGCAGCTCTTCCTTATAATTGGGAAGGCTGGTTGTCTTAGGATCCTGATGGTGAGGAAGGGCTCTCTCTGTGGGTACATCTGCACATGCACGGGGCCCTTTCTCATTAATAGTGTCTGCATGGCTGTCTATGGAGGGTTAGCAGAGCATAGCACAGATCCCCTGCCCTCTCAGTGAGCATGTGAGGGCTTTAAAAAATCTGAACAGCCCTCGAGTTATCAGTGAGATGGGCTTTGTGTGCTCAGATCCACTCAATCCCCGTATCTGAGTGTTGAAAGGTGGCATGATAGAGACATTGTTAATCATTGTGTGCACAGACATGTCTGGAAAACAGGGATCCTAGTTTTATGCTGCCCTCATTTAAAAAATGAGCAAAATCTCTTTTTCCAGAGACAATAGTGGGGGAAGAAACGAGTGTGGTTACACTGTGGAAAATGTGATGATTGTCACATACCTCCTTCAAGTCTCTTAAAAACCATCATTGGTTTCCGACCGAGGATAATAATAATTTAATACCGTAATAATAATTTATTATTTATACCCTGCCCATCTGGCTGGGTTTCCCCAGCCATTCTGGGCAGCTCCCAACAGAATATTAGAAACACGCTGAAACATCAAACATTAAAAACTTAGCTAAACAGGGCTGCCTTCAGATGTCTTCTAAAAGTCAGGTAGTTGTTTATTTCCTTGACATCTGATGGGAGGATGTTCCACAGGGGGGGTGCCACTACCAAGAAGGCCCTCTGCTTTTCCTATATACACAAGAGCATGAAACATGGGAGAAGAATTGGTGGGAGGTTTTTTTATATTAAAAGGAAAGCTGACTCAGACTAGTATTTCACTCTTGGATTAAGCAGTCTAAGCACTCAGTCTGTAACCATGTAAAACTGAAACGCTTTGGATTACAATTATTTGACTACTTTTGAAGTATGCTAGCTAGAATAATTCCATCATATGCAACTTGATTTATTCCCCATCCCTGCCTCCTCCTCACACAGTGGTGACTGATCTACAGTCAATGGCTTCCTCATTCTGCCTGGCTTCCTTTTTCTCCCCCACCTTTGCTTTGCTTTCCCTGCCTGTCCATTTTAATAGCTTTCAAAATGTCTGTTTAATTTATGTCTGCTTTACTGCCTATTTAATCTTTTCCTTTATAATTATAATGACCTTCCACAGGTTATTGTAATCCTATTAGGAACATGGGTATTTTAAAGTCACTTGACTTTGCAAATAATTTTATTTGCTCAATCTGGCTTATTTGGGGGGCAGAGTGGAGAACCGGGCTTAGGGAGTTTTCCTCCTTCTTAGTAAATAAGGTATTCATGGTTAATCTTTCATTTGGACTCATTATGAAGATGTTGAATGAGGTTTCTGAGGGTGCAAAACAATGAGGAAAAAGGGTAAAAAATACTGATATTATATATTATTAGAAGTAATAATATATGAAGCAATTCAGTCTAACCTGATGTGCCAAACATTTACTTTCAATGGCTGGATGTTTTGATGTTTACTGTTAAGCAGCCACAGAGAGGGACCCTCTTGATCAGATCACTGGTGTTTATGTTCATGTGCTATTTTGCCAATCTAAAATAGGCCTATACAGTGGTACCTCGGGTTAAGAACTTAATTCATTCTGGAGGTCTGTTCTTAACTTGAAACTGTTCTTAACCTGAGGTACCACTTTAGCTAATGGGGCCTCCCGCTGCCACCGCCACACGATTTCTGTTCTCATCCTGAAGCAAAGTTCTTAACCTGAGGTACTATTTCTGGGTTAGCGGAGTCTGTAACCTGAAGCGTATGTAACCTGAGGTACCACAGTATGTGTGTGGATGAGCTAGGACGGCCATTCTTATTGAATATTCTCAGGTGATCTTACAGTGTGACCACAGTTGGGTAACTTGTGATTTTATGCTGGATTCCCCCCCCCCCCATCAGATTATCTGTGGATTTGGAAAAGTCAAATTAACTGTGGGGAAGTGTGGACTGCCACTTGGTTAAGGGGGCTATTGTATGAGTGGCGACTAAACCAAAGTGGGCACTAGTAGCTTCAAATCCAAACTGAATTTCCCAAGCCCTGGGTCTACGCAAAATATTAAATCCAAGAAGGTGCTTACAGTGCTGAACAGCGTTGACTTAAATAAGACGGGTTGTACACCATATAAATAGTTAAAAGAGGAGAACCCTTTGCAAGAAGCAAATTCTTATTATCAGCGGTGGAGGAAGCTGCTCGGGAGCCTGGGGCCGCTCACCCAGGGGCGGGGCGAGCTGCCCATAGGGGTGGGGTGAGCAGCCCATAGAGGTGGGGAGCACCGTGGGGCCTTCAGAGTCTGCCTGCCTCCTCCCACTCAGCCTCCCTACAGCTGAGGGGGAGGCCGTGGGCGGGCCGTTTGGGCATCACGGAGCCTGCGCACACACAAGCCACAGCGTCTCTCCCAAGAGAGACACGTGGCTCTGGCGCACGGCAGGCCCCGCTGTGAGTGCTGCCCGGCCTTTTGTCACCCCCTCAGTGGTGACACCTGGGGCGGACTGCATCCACTGCACCCTGCTTAGCAAGCCCTTTAGGCTCAGCTATCTCCATCTTTTTCACTTAGCAAGAGAGAAAGCAAATAGCATCTGTAGAAGAGATCTTTTTGACCATTGAACTCAATGGGTCTTCTGAGCATACATGTATCATTCCAGTTCCACTTCTGCAGTCATTTGGGGTTGTATCCAGCGCCTTCTGTGCCTGAGCAGAATTGACTTCCACTTGCACAAGGGGATTCACCTTCCTCTGCTCCCCCATCGCAGTGTCCCACATGCAAAATCTGCTCTAGAAGGCTTGGAGACCCTTTAGAGCAGGTTAGGGAGACACACAGGCATATGCAAGGGAAAAGAGAGGAATGTGGAACCCTGCCACATGAGCAGACGTCTGTCTGCTCAGCATTGGATTGAAAGAGCTCTCTGGTGTTGCAGAACACTGGACTGACACAAGCTTCATAGCCACAAATCTTAGCACTATCCAATTAAATTATGGGGATGACCTATGGGAAGCAGAAGGTGAAAATAGCAAGGCTGCTTTTTCTGGTCAGGTTAAAATGTACTAGAACTGATATCATAG